GTCTAACTTTCACAGTTAAAAAGGGACAACAAAAGCAGAACCGATCGGGACGATAAACGAATAGATTTAATGGTAACTAGTTAATGTTTTGTTTGAATGGTACGAAATTCAGTAATCCGATAATCTGTTATTATTTTTAATTTGTTAAATTGTGATTTTTTCGTGAAGGTCGTAGAAAAAGTATAGTAGGCAACCCGTTTGGTAAACTCTTTGTATCACTCGTTTATTAAGCACTCGCTCCGCTCGTGCCAAATAAACTCGTAAGTCAAATGCCGTTTGCCGCAACTGTTGCCTAATATACTATTATTTATTGATAAATAGGATTTATTTAAAACACGCCACTTCAAATTTTTTGTTGAATAAAAAAAATCGATAAAAGTAATAATAAAATACATAGTCGCAATTTCTTCAAAGTATGATACATGTTAACGTCAATGATAACGTTCTGTTTATTTCCTTTGCAGTCTCGCTATCATGTTTTCTGGGTGACTTTAATTCTCCTTGTAGGGTTTTGCATTTTTGGAAATCGTTTTACTTTTATAGGCTGAGTCGAGAGTTAAATGAAAGTGTTAAGGATAAGTATACTAATTATTATATTATAAGGTTGTTCGGAAAGTCAGAGGACTTAATTACGTTTTTTCGAAACCAACTTCACACTTAAGCCGCATAACCATTATATGTCTTGAGAGCTGATGTTGCGAGGCTTGTGTGTGAAAAAGTTCTATTAATTCTACGCAGTAGTTTTTGGTTGGTGCCCTTTTAAATATGGAGAGCAATAAGCAGCATTTTCGTCATATTTTACTTTTTTACTTCAGAAAAGGTAAAAATGCTGTCCAAGCGAGAAAAAAATTGACGGATGTGTATGGAGAAGGCGTGTTAACAGTACGCCAGTGCCAGAACTGGTTTGCAAAATTTCGATCCGGCAATTTTGATGTCGAAGATGCACCACGGTCTGGAAGGCCGGTCGAAGCTGACAAAGATGCGATAAAGGCATTAGTTGATGCAAATCGGCGAATAATCACACGAGAGATCGGTGAGAGATTAAATTTGTCGAATTCGACTGTTTATGGCCATTTGAAAGGCATGGGCTTAACCTCGAAGCTCGATGTGTGGGTGCCCCATGTCCTTACGGAGCGAAATTTGGGTCGTCGCGTTGACGTGTGTGATTCGCTCCTCAAACGTCAAGAAATTGATCCATTTTGAAGCGGATTATTACTGGGGACGAAAAATGGGTTGTATACAACAATGTTAAACGCAAGAGGTCATGGAGCAGAAAAGATGAACCGGCTCAAAGCGTGTCAAAAGCCAACATTCACCAAAAAAAGGTGATGCTCTCCGTTTGGTGGGATGTCAAAGGAATCGTTTTTTTTTGAGCTTTTGCCGGACAATACAACGATTAATTCAGAAGTCTATTGTCATCAACTGGACAAATTGAATGATTCACTTAAAGAGAAGAGGCCCGAATTAATCAACAGGAAGGGTGTAGTGTTCCACCAGGATAATGCGCGACCTCACACAAGTTTGGTCACTCGCCAAAAACTTTTACAGCTTGAATGGGACGTACTGCAACATCCACCATATTCTCCAGATCTGGCGCCTTCCGACTACTATTTGTTCCGGTCCCCGGATGGCAAAACCTTTACCTCAAATGAAGATGTCAAAAACTACCTGAACCAGTTTTTTGCCAGCAAGGACCAAAACTTTTATGAGAGGGGAATTATGTTACTGCCAGAAAGATGGCAAAAGGTGTTGGACCAGAATGGCCAATATATAATTTCATAAAATATTTATTCATTATACGAAAACTGTCTTTCATGTTCCCCAAAAAAAACGAAATGACTTTCCGAACAACCCAATAATATACTATTAATCGGGACAGGCGAACAATACCATTAGGGCAGTGAACGACTTAACAGTTTTTTGTTTAATAAAATTTTTAACACTCTATTTTCACACGCTTTTGCAAATATTGTGAAAGATAGCTACAACATGAACGAAATAACAGATCGAAACACTCAAATCCACTTACTAGGAAATTTTGTGAAATCAATTTGCAACTTCATCATAATATTTCTTGGTTATTTGGATAGCGGGACTCATTTGTAATGACCCCAACATCACAAAACGATTTCTAATATGGGCACTTCTTTGCAATTTCTCTATGGTTAGTAATTTATTTATATAATCATGGCCGTCGCCTTGCAAACAAGTTCATTATTAATCAAACGTTTTATCTCTCTTAAAGCTAAAAACATATACTGGCTTCTATTTAAACTTTGATATTTTGCCGCTCGTAAATAAAACGGAGGAAAAAACTAAAGTTTCAGGTTTTTAAATAGAAACTGTGGAGGACGTTTTGACGAGAACTTTTTGCCTCCCGTCTTTGTTTAGACCGGCGTTTCGCAGACAATGACAATTAAGGGCCTTAACGCGGAGCTCGGTGCGGGTGTACTTAATAGTCTTGCATAATTTAGATGTTTTTAATGTAAATTCGCTGTCTCTGCGGTACAAATTGCGGATTATTTTCTACGCCACTCTGCGGTTTCAAGCTATACGACGCACCCAGGTGATCGACGTGTCAGTTTAAAACGCACGAGAAACTCGTATATATTCGCAAAACGCCGGCAAATTTGTCTCTTAAATTGCGGCGCCCTTTGAATAAATCAGTCCTTATCACGTCCGGCATCTGCAAGGAAATCCGGTTTGAAATATGGCCCGACTTTATCTGCGCCGTGGTCTTTCCAACCCCTAATTTCTGTATTCAATTAGATTAAAATTGCGCTACCTTTGAAATTAAAAGTAAAACGCTGATCAAGAACGAGTCGGTTGATTTCTTGCAATAAAAATAAAAAGCTAAAAACGTGGAAATTTTTTTTCTATTCCCTATTCTAAAATAGAATGAACGGCTAAAATATGAAACAAATTTATTTAAAAATCAGGTATTGGATTTCAAGAAAGATGCTCGCGTCATAATTTTTTCATGTGAATTTACAAATTATTATTAATTGTTAATTAATTAATTATAATATAAATATAAAATATCATGCACTAAGCAGGCGTGCGTGAAGTATCACGTTAAAACATCAGATTCGTTAAAGTCACGGGTTTGGTAGCCATCAGATGTTTTCTTTAAATTTTGTATTTTGTATTTTGACGTTTGTCAGTTCTAACAGTCACGTCACTCAGTGAATGTGTTTGAAGTTTTTTTACAAAAAAATGTACCCAGAAAGGAAGAGTCATAGAGATAGTATAGAATAAAACACGTTGAAAAACTTCTTCAGTCAACTCACCAAAACTAACCCAAACGAACTCCTGACTAGAATAGAGCTTATAAAACTTGTTGCACAACATACTATTTTATACAATATGTTGAAAACTACGCTGCCAAACTACCAAAACTGTGAATAATGAATAATTAAAAAATATTTTTATTTTTACATATTTTTTTTTAGAAAATCGAGACAATACAATAATATGTCTCTATCAAAGAAATAGTTTTATTTAAGGCATGTTTTGCTATGATCTCCTAGATCTTTCAATGGCTTTGTAATTTTAAAAGTGGAGCTTAATATGGTCAAATGCTTCACTAAAGCGACCATAGTGATGGTAATAAAATAATCCCACTTCAAAAAACACATCAAATTTTTGGAAAAAATAAATTGAGAGTTTTTCATATTTGGCATGATTTTAGTATTAGATAACCAGAAATACATTTTTTTGACCTTTACCAAATACCAAAAAAAAACTTGACGGTTGAAGTTTGGTCACGTACTAAGAAAACATCCACTATAGTACAATTTTTACAGGTCGTTCAAGGGTAGCAGGTCGAATAGAAATTCCGCGAATTGGAGCTATAGATTTTCCTCGCTGTCTGTTACCAAAAGTTCAAATTGAATGAAAAGTGTGTTTAAATGCGACAGCGGGACGAATGCAAAATTATAAACTACCAAGCGGAGGAGTTCAAACCATAACCGTAGTCGAGAAAAGTTTCAATTTACTTTGACGTCAATCAGAATTGACTATTAATGTAGAAATGAATGTAGTTCCACTCCAGTAAATAAATAACTGCCTACATACAGCGTCGAAGAAATTTTATTAAAAATATTACACCAGTTTTGACAGGTTACCACGACGACGGCTGTAAAATTTTTTTTTTTTTGCGGAGCGAATCCCGAACACATTCGGAATCATAATAATAACAATAATAAAATTCGTTGTTCGCGGTGTAGAAAGTTACCGTGTTTAACATTTTCTGGAATCGGGGCAGGGATTTTTAGTTCCGAACGAATTGTAAATGTTTATTGATTACAAATAAAATCCTTTATTGTTTTTATAATTATTCTATAAGTATTTAGTATGGGTATATCAACTATTTTTCTAACCAAACCAAAGCATATGGCTAGTAGATATAAACGGTGTACTAAATTAAATGGGCACTATCTTTGTTTATTATTAGAGGATACGAAGTATACTTCGAAATTGAAAGTCATATTCATGCATAAGAAAATTGTTCTGTTGTCGACAAAAACTCTATATATGTTAAATGTGCATATAGATCTAAAATTATGAGACAAATGGGGAAGAAAATGGCGCAAAGTGGAGGATGTTGTGTGAAGTGTAGGGGGCGTGCTCGGAAGACCCCTTTAATATGTCATATATGTAGCAATGATTTAGCATTAGCATTCCCAAAGTTCAATACAAGCTTTTTGAATATGTGTTCTTCACCATTTTTTCACCATTTCACCCATTCGACTTAGCATTTTTATTACTAGTAAAAGAAATCATTTTAGCGCAAACTTTAGAGTCACTGTGCGAAAAATAACTTCCAAATCTTTCTAACCAACGTAAAGAAACTTTCACTTCGCAAAGTAGTCTGCGAGTTTTAAATCGTTTCGGAATGTTAAATTGAGCGTCCCCTGCTGAAAACGAGGGTTAGAACGTCGTCGCGCGAGTTCCTTCCTCTTTTAACTTTTTTAACTTTTAATTTTTTTTTCTTCCAGATTGTGCCCAACATGTTCCATACGGCCAGCATCTGGTTAACGCTGGCTTTAGCAGTCCAACGGTATATTTATGTATGCCACGCTCCCCAGGCCAGGAAGCTCTGCACGATGCCCAACGTGTACAAATGCGTGGGGTACACCTTGCTAGCGTCGGCCATCCACCAGTCCACCAGACTCTTCGACACCGAATATAACTTGGTAGGTAAGACATAAGCAGCGTGTCGAAACAAGTCATATAAAAAAGAGAAAAAAAAAACTATGCATGTGTTTGTAAGAAAAAGAAATATATATAATTTAATTACTATAACAAATGTTTAAGTCCTGGAATCTTTAATCTCCTAAACTCATGAGTGGACTAGATAAAAACCAAACGTTTTACCAACCATTCCACCGCACAAACCATGCTAGAAGCTCGATTCGTAGAATTGTTCAAATATCATTTATTCCTCTATTTCTTTACTCATTACAATTACGCATTTTCAAATCACATTACTGGAATGTACACTTTTTGACTAATACGTTTTTATATTATCATAATTTTCCTGTCTGTATTTCTTTTTTCAAAACAAATTTTTTGTGATGCTTATACGAAAAATTTGGCATCGCCGTCAATAAATAAATTAAAAAAATATCGTTAAAATATATTACAAAATATTAAAGTATAAACCTTGTCTGAAAAACCAAGAAGAAGCATTTTTTTTCGAACTTGTGTTACAACTTAACGATAGCACAAAAATGGTAGAGAAATAGCAAAATATCTTTGTTGTTGCATTCCGTCTTAGAATAATAGTTCTTTATCAGACTTACTTTCCGCCCTTTGTGGGTATCTCACTGTACTTGTCATAACCTTAGTCAAAGAGAAAACTGATGAAAAATGGATTTGTAGATTTCGTTGCAAAATATCGGAACCGAGTTCACTAGTGTCATCGTGAGCTGCAAGACTAATTACTAATGCTATACTTGTCTCTTACATATATAGGGTGTTTTTTTTTCGATGTATAGAACTTTAAATTGCAATAAAACAACGATGGATTATTCGATTGACATGAATTTTATTTATCCGAAAGATAATCTTGTGGCATTACATTTTAAATATGATTTCTGGCATATGACCGCCACGGCTGACGCGGATGTAGTCCAATCTGGACGTCCAATTTTCGATGACTTTTTCTTCCAACATTTGTGGCCGTACATCGGCAATAACACGGCGAATGTTGTCTTCCAAATGGTCAAGCGTTTGTGGCTTATCCGCATAGACCAATGACTTTACATAGCCCCACAGAAAGTAGTCTAGCGATGTTAAATCACAAGATCTTGGAGGCCAATTCACAGGTCCAAAACGTGAAATTAGACGGTCACCAAACGTGTCTTTCAATAAATCGATTGTGGCACGAGCTGTGTGACATGTTGCGCCGTCTTATTGAAACCACATCTCCTGGACATCATGGTTATTCCATTCAGGAATGAAAGAGTTAGTAATCATAGCTCTATACTGATCACCATTGACTGTAACGTTCTGGCCATCATGGTTTTTGAAGAAGTACGGACCAATGATTCCACCAGTCCAAAAAGCGCACCAAACAGTCAGTTTTTCTGGATGCAATGGTGTTTGGACGTACACTTGAGGATTAACTTCGCTCCAAATGCGGCAGTTTTGTTTGTTGACGTAGCCATTCAACCAGAAGTGCGCTTCATCGCTAAACAACGTAGTGCGCGATACGTATTCCGCACAGAACCATTATTTTCGAAATAAAATTGCACTATTTGCAAGCGTTGTTCAGGGATAAGGAGAATAAATCACTTGACAGCTGTTAAATCGGTCGCCAGCTTGATCAGTAATGGCAACTTAAAGTTCTATACATAAAAAAAAACACCCATTATATTAATTAATATTCATGAATCCTTAAATAAATACAGATAAAGCTCTTTGTAAGGGTGAAAAATATAATTGTATTCAGCTTCGTTCCGGCTTGGATATACGTGCTTTGGTACTGTGCTAGTAGAATTCACCTTAGTGTGGAGTTCTATAGTCTTTAGTAGGGATAGCAATTACCTATACAAAATCAAAAATTATGCATCGAAATCATGCTCCCCAGATCATCTTTCCGCTATAGTATCAAAATCGCTTGAAAGTTCGGGGTTTTTCAAACGTCTCATCTATTAAACTTCTCTACTGTACACTTGTTCACCATAATCTTCACTTTAAATATTAGGAATCTGGAAACTCATTATAAACATCGAATAAACTCGAACTGCTCTTTTGCGGACTTGCTGCGTAAAATTGGGAAACATGCCAAACTAATTACGGTCACAACATTCTTACTTTGATCAGTCCGATTTGTCAAACAATACAGAACCTAGACTATTCTGTTAAAAGGCATGTATTCCGTTATCAAATGAAATCATTCGTCCTTCAGTCCTCTTTCCACTTTTGATTCTCAATTTAAAACTTCTAATTAATTAAAATTATTTCGAAAAGGTTGTCGGTGCTAGTTAGTATTTGGTTACATAGACTTGGCAATTATTGTGGAACTTCGTGGGCACTTTATATCTCTTCGCAAATGCTTTTCGTAGTAAAATGGGTAGTAGCTTTCCTTCCTTATTTTCTCCCCCTGCCAGGGCATAACATTTTAGCGATCACGGAGTTACGGCACTAGAGTTTATGATTGATTCGAAGACAGCCGTATATATGAATGACTTGGTGGGCCTTCCTTTTGGTTAATGTCTTTGGTCAGCACTGCAATAATAACGTTCAGTTAGGGTGCATGAGAAGAGGCAGTAAAATTTAAACGTGCTTTATTTTCAGAATTGGACTATAAACGCAAATGGGTTTCCTACTTTGTTCGACTGACACAACATTCTCGTATCGTCTGGCGATAAATGCAAATACAGAATATTTTATTTATTCTGTGTACCTACTGTAACCATTAGATTTCTGGTTTATATGGTATAGGAAATTTTTCTTAAACTCTCATAGAAAAGTTTTGATTAAAGTATTTTGATTAAGTTGAGAAACGCTTTATAAATGTAGGCATTGAAGTAAACTTTCTCTTTTTGATGAAATGTTACTAAAAGTATATTCTTATTATATAAAGAAACGCATGTAAATAAAAATTTTGAACCGTTTTACCCATACTAAATATTAGAGATTTCGGCGCATATACTTTTTATTCGCAGTAGCAGAAGTTTTGTTTGCAGAATTTTTTTTGAGTTGTACACCTTATAGGACACTGCAGTTTTTTTAATTTCTACCAGATAAAACTTGAAAACATTTTCTCATACTTTTCCTACAGTGATAAAATATACATGCATAAAAAGTATAAAACAAATTCGATATATTTTGAGACTGATATTGATATAATAATAAACAAACTGGATAAAATCATTTCAATGATACGATTCGGATTAAGTTACTCCCACAGTAGCACAGAGTTCAATTTCAGGACCTCTGTTGTATCTCTTGACAAGTTGAAGTCAAATTTTCTCAAATCCACTTATAATAAGAAAACACCCAGCTGGTATAAATATTCGTGTCAATTAATTACATCAATGTCGAATTTTGATCTCAAAAACCTTTTTTAATGAAATAAAAATTACAATCTCAAGCAAAATCTTAAAAAAGGCAACGCAAGATCACAAATTTACATATTCTAATAGATGGCAATTGAAAACTCTGACACATACATCATTTCTACAGTTATATTTAGTCTTCCATCGTAATATCCATTCTTATCTGTTCTAATAAAAATGAAGTATATCGGAAAAAAATATTTTGTTTTGAAATGGCTCGAATTAAAATCCTGTTTCGTTTCAATTTTAAGTGTTTCAGTATGAAATTCAAACTGCTCCTGCAAGGGCGACAAACATTCTAAGTAAGCGGTATAATAATTATAATACATAGTTTGAATTATTAGATCAAAAAATAAGTTTTATTTGTTGGAATTTAGACTCTTATTATTACTGTAGCTTTTCGATTCATCGTCATTGCAATATTAACAATAATAATTAATTTTGTAAAAATTTTATACAATAATTTAAAATATCGGAATAAAGACTATTATTATTACAAAAGCACGGCAAATAACAGACTACTGCTCTGTTTTACTACTCCGTGTTCTCAGTTCCGCGCCATTATCATTGTCAACGAGACTCCCGCTGTGTTCCAGACCGTGACTTTTCATCCCGTTTCGAATATTAAAGTTTATGGCAAATAAATCTCGACAAACGACAGCCGGATTGTCCCTGTTCAGCCACCGTTACCCCGACATACCTTTCCAGCGTAATGTAAAAATATGCAGCCAATCTTTTGTCGCATCAGTTCGCAAAAAGAACGCGATGATAAAAACCGTACGCTCGGGAGGAAAGCGGCATACCTAAGATTCTTGCCTTTGCGTCCGAGCGAGCTTTCTGTTTAAAGAATACTGGAATTTTTACGGTTTGCCTGGACGCGTAGAAGTGGCCCTATCTATAGTTTTATCATAAACTGCTGTCATTATTAACTCTTATGACTAAAAAGCACTAATTAAAAAAGTAACACACTTATTGACATACCAGATCACAACAATTTTATTCTGAACAATTCAATCAATTTCCTCTGGCGTGTTTTATTTGGATCCAAAAGTTGGCACTGATTGACATTACTTAATAAATTGTACATAACCAAACCATGACACCAATTGCAATAGGCTTGGAATACTCAGAGCTCTAATTGAAAAAAAAAAAAGAAATTCCATTATATGTATATTAGCAAAATATAAATATGATGGAATGGAAATATATTAAAACCTCCCTCGTCTCATCGTGGCTACGATTGCCAGGTTCATTAGGTAAGTCAGTCTTCTAGACTTAAAATAATTAAGCTTCCTCTTTTTAGTATCTATCCTCTTGACAGCCGCCCTAAATAATTGTACGGTCGTCATCACAACATTCACACAAACTGGTAATTAAACAAATATTGTGGTCTGTTTACAAAACATATACTGTCATGAGCATGGATTCATTTGAATTAATGCTCGGTTCTCATAATAATAGTAATAATAAAGGTCTTTATTTCTTCAAACTTCAGAGAAAAGAAAAAGCCTTACAAGCTATTATTTATTTCACTAGTTCAACAAAGTAAAATAAACTATTCCAGCCAGTTAATGTGAGGAGAAATATAACTTAAAGGAAAAGAAAATAACGTGTGAAAACTTCTATGT